TGACACTTCGAAAGATAAAAATGTAATTTTCTTGTGCCAGTTAGGATCTAAAAACTCCTTACAGAATTTATAAGTCAATTTACTTATCAGGCGATTGTGATTAGGTTCTTTTAGCCATAATGAAGAGGACGTTATTGGTTGTGTTTTATTAAGAACTAATGCAATATAACTTGAATTCAAAACAGAATGAAAGGGAGAGACTGGACAGAAAATGTAATTAATTAATTAAATAATGAAATTACAAAATGTTACCTTTAGTAAGGGCAACATTGAAGGTCAAATTCTAAAAATACAAGAGTTACTTTAATCTACTCCTATGAAAAGTAAGTGCAATGCTGAAATTTAAAGATAAAATAAATGACATAGCCGTAGAGTTTGGATTTGTTCGAGGGGCATTTTCATATATTTATAACCTTCTTTTGGTCTTTGAAGCAATTGAGCTGCTTTTCCTCAACATGATCTCTTTTCTTGTAGCTACTTCTTAAGATCACTTCTTCTCTTTGTGCGTGCAAAACCACTAACCATCTCGAAAACTTATTTCCCTTGTGTTGTTCATATGTTGAATAACTACCTTTCAACTGCTAGAACTTGCATCTGCTGCTCATGTAATTTGCGTAAGAAGTGGGGTTCTTTAATGACTTGGGCATCTACATAATTACCCTTACTTGCCACGTGCCACCTTCTAACTAGATGGTTTAATTATGGAGCCAACAAATTCGGCACACACAAATGAGTCGAACTATTTACTTAGTAAGCCTCACGGTAAAGGTTATCCATGTAAAGAATCAGTTTTATTGGACAACTATAAACACAGAAACAAATCGCATTTCATTTTATAAAATGACTAGTTTAAATTTACAATCATATTTGTTGTTCATTTTACAAAATAAAATTTGATTTGTTCTTCTGTTTATAGACATTCGATGAAATTAATTTTTTGCATAAATAACTTTTATTGTGGAGTCTACGAAATAAATGGTTCGGCTGATGGATGTGGGTATAAATTAGGGCCCACGAGAGGGGTATGGAGAGATGAAGTTATGAAAGGGAGTTTATCCCTGCAAGGTTTGCTATACTCACTAAAATTATATACGGTAAATTACAAATACACCTCTTGAGCTTTACTTAAGATATGAATTGCCCCTTGTGATTCTAAGAATTATAAATATTTCATTTGTAGAAACTTTTATTTAACATAATTAATAAATAAATAAATAAATAAATTCTCCACTACTCTTTTATACAACAGTAAAATTACTAGAATTGTTAATTGAAATATATTTTTGGCATCATTAATAACTATTAACTAACTTAATGAATTATTCATAAATGGGTCATTAATTAGTTATGCAATTAAAAATTTGAAGGAATGGGATGTAATTTTCATAACCATAGGAAGTAGTTTGTATTTTCATTAACCTCAGGGATGTATTTACAATTTGTAACGCCCCAAATTTCTAGCCCAAATGATAATACAACAACCATGGCTCTTTCAAGGAAAAATTAATATAAATCTCCAAACTTACATTATATGAGACAATAGTTCTTCATGCAACAATACATTAATCCAACAACAAGTAAATAAACAAATAAATACCCCCAAGGGTTTACAAGTTTCCAAGGCTTGAGCCTGGTTGCACAAAACGGTTATTCAAACCCACACACATACAGCTCTTGGCTTACACATAGAGTCACAATAAAATGAGAGTCTCGTACTCTCAATACACATTTCCTCGCCTTTAGTTAGGCGGCATCACCACATCTTTTCCTACACAAAAATCTCGTAGGGTGAGCATAAAGCCCAGTAGGAAATAGCCCAGTAGGAAATCCTTAACAAAGTATATACATTTTATACAAGTCTCAAGAGATGAAATGCACATGTCATGCTATGCCCCTTTTTGAAGATAAATCTCATTTTCATCTTTCGAAAACCATCATGCTCAATGATGTCATACAATTTCAATTGTTCAAAACTTAACAATTTATTTCAATGGCAGTAAATACGACTCTGGTAATCTCTAGGTCGGTGTCTGCAAGTAGACTATACACGTACTACCAAATTGTCATTTTTACCGGTATTAACTGGAAGGCTCGACACCTATCCGCGCAGATTTTCAGTCTTTCACCCCGGACTCTCTAGCCAACTTATTCAATATCATCTACACCACCTATCAAGACTTACCAACGTATTTACCCCAAAACCATTCATAAAAACTTGTTTCTCGACATTTTTTTCTCAATGCAAGTTTTCAAATCAACTTTCAAAGTTTAATGTAATCAAATGAATTGATATGCCAATAACACAAGATGAATATAAATACTGATATTCCAATTCATCATCCAAGGAATAACACAATTATCTCTTCTCAAGTATCCTCAACAATTAGTCATTTCAAGACTATTTCAACGTTTTGAACAATAATTTTCAAAATGAACAATAATTGTCATATTCTCTGAAATTCATCATTTATATAAATATAAATAAGAAATCTTCCAAACATCCATTTATTTTGACACACAAAATAAATATAACAATATCATTCATGGATTTTCAGTCTCTAAAAAAAATTTCCAAATTCTAGGTTTTCTCACCAAAATTATACAACTCAAATCTTTTGAAAGAAAACTTTCCAAAATCATATTTTCTTCAATCAACGAAGATCAAAACCCATAAGATCATTTTAAAAGAACAAGGGACAAACCCACTTTCAAAATCGCTCAATTTCTTGAATCAACAATCAATTTTCACAGCTATCGAAAGATGATTTCGAAAATCATATAGATCTTGCAAAAACATATATATAACTCTAAGAAAATCACTATCTCAAGTTTTGAAGAAGAAATGAGATGAAACCCCAAAATTTACAGTGTTGAAACTCGATCTCCACCGCACACAACAAAGCCCTCGAGATGATAATCAACTTTGATGAAGAACTTAGGTCTAAATCCCAATGGATTTGGAGAAATTAAAGAGAGAAGATGACTTCTAGAGAGAGAAGCTCCCGATCTGGAATTCTGGAGATTTTTAGAGAGAGAGAGAGGACTGAAAAAATGATCTGAAATATCAGATTCACGAACTGATATAACATGGTCCGCTCATGCGTGGAATGCCCCGCTCGATCGTTAAATACACTAACCTAGTACTTTTGCAGACAAGTCAAACTACTGAAACTAAATATTCTCCGCTCGAGCGCATAAACAGCTGCTCGAGCGCATAAACGGCCGCTCGAGTGGACAAGCAACTTCGAATGCATTTTGCATTTTTGTTTTGGGAGCGCTACCCCTCAACCCCGCCAGGGCGCTGCCCTAGGACCCACCAAGGGGCGTTGCCCCCTAGACCCCCGCAAGCTGACCGGGCAGCTCGACCCCCGCCAGGGCGTTGCCCTTGGACCCGCCAAGGGGCGCTACCCCCTGGACCCCCGCGAGCTGACTGGGCAGCTCGACTCCCGACATACTCAGCGAAGTGGCAAAACTGGGATCGCTACATAATTTACCCAATTATATATTAAATTTAGTTTAGATAGATTAGATTATAAAGAAATCATTACAATTTAATTCAAATATATAAAAATATGGTGTTGTTATTTTATAGTTTCTTTTTTGGGTGAATAAATTATTTTATAGTTTCAAATCTAATTAATAGCAAAAAAAATTTATCAAACAAAATTTAAATTTATGCATTCTTTTCTTTTCTTGTCTTTTCTTTTTCTTTATTTTATTTTTTATTTTTTTTGGTAAAAAACTCCAATTTAATATAAGAAGAAAATGTCGTGCTGGTTTATTTATTTATTTTCTAAAGTTCAAGCAGGGTTCATTGCATTAATATATAAACACACTTTGTAAATTAGGTTTCACTTTTTTCAAGTTTCCAGCGGCCATGGGACTAATTACGAGTTTCATTTTAATGACTTGAACTATTTATTTTATAAGTTTATATCATTCGTGAAAAAATTAAGTTAATCTTGTAATTATAATTTTTTATTTTATTAAATTTGTTTGAAAAAAATAAACGAGAAATATGTTTTTTAAAATAGACTATTTATTTTTTGTAGAATCAAGTACAATAAAATAAAAAGTTACAACTTACATATTAACTTAATTTTTTTTTTTGTATAAATAATATATACAAATAATCTTATAAAAAAAACGATTGATATTATCGAAATGTGACCTTAAGAAGTCCCATAGCCCCTCAAATTAGCCCAACCTATATTGGGCACTCTTTCATTTCTCTTTGCCACTGCCTCTGATAACTCAAATCTTCATATAAATATCATTATTTTTAAGTGAGTAATGATAGAATTCACACATAAAATATATTTGGTAAAAATGTTGATAAATCTCTTGATGTTGCTAGCATTTTTCTTTTTATCTTGCAGATCTACACCCCCTGCTTTCCTTCACAGGACAGAGATCTATATCACTCTCTCTCAAACTTTATTTATGATGACAAAAAAAATAAAAATATAAATGAATAAAAATATTATAAATCGTTCTAAATAAAATACATGAAATTAACAGAAGATCATTTAGCTCACTTTAAATCTTTCTAAATTTATCTTGAACAATAGGAGAGACCACCAGACACAAAATAATGGGCAGATTGCCTTGTGATTTTAGAAATTATAAATATCAATAAAATTTATTTAATAAAATTAATAAAAATTTCTAATTTCTAATTACTTTTCTATAGAATAATAAAATTATTAGAATTACTAATTGAAATATATTTATGTCTTCATTAAAAATTGTTAATTGACCTAATAAAATGGGTCATTTGTCATGCAATTTGAAATTTGAAAATTTTTAAAATTATAAGAAGTAATTTATATTTTTTAAAAAAATCTGAAGAGTTGTATTTGTAATTTACCCAAAATAGTAAGAAGTATTCTTAAATTAAAGGAAACATGTAACTTTTTTCACTTTTTGGGATTCACTCACTTCTTTCTGTGTTCAAAATGAACATTAATTATTCCTTAGTATAAAGAACTTACGCCAAATTCAATATGGCCTTCTTCATCCAACCTAAAGCAGGTTCTAACTTCCAATTTTTTCATACAGTACTAGGCCTCGCAGGAAGAGCTTTATTTGGGATGCTATTTACGTTTGTGTTTTTAATCTATAAGTTTAGGAGAAGGCATTTGTCTATGTTCGACGACATTGAGGATTTTCTTCGAAGACAGAATAATCTCATGCCTATTATGTACTCTTACTTGGACATTAAAAAGATGACTAAAGGTTTCACGTATAAATTGGGTGAAGGAGGCTATGGTTGTGTGTATAAAGGAATGCTTCGAAGTGGCCATCCTGTAGCAATAAAGATATTGGATAAATTCAAAGCTAATGGGCAAGACTTTATCAATGAAGTTGCCACTATCGGAAGGATTCATCACATTAATGTGGTCAGGCTAATTGGTTTTTGTGCAGAGAGATCTAAGCGCGCTCTAGTATATGAGTTTATGCCTAATGGGTCTCTTGAAAAATATATTTTTTCTCAAGAAGGAAATGTCCACATAAGTTGCACGCAAATGTACAACATTTCTCTTGGAGTGGCTCGTGGGATTGAATATTTGCATCGAGGTTGTGACATCCAAATCTTACATTTTGACATCAAGCCTCATAACATTCTTCTTGACGAGAATTTCACTCCAAAACTTTCTGATTTTGGGCTCGCAAAATTGTATCCAAGAAATGTTAGCATTGCGTCACTGACTGCAGCAAGAGGAACAATGGGCTACATGGCTCCGGAGTTATTCTATAAGAACATTGGAGGCATTTCATATAAAGCTGATGTTTATAGTTTTGGAATGTTACTGATGGAAATGGCAGGCAGAAGGAGAAATTTGAATGTCTTTGCAGATCATACAAGCCAAATTTACTTTCCTTCGTGGGTCTATGACCAATCTGGAGAAGGGAGGGACATAGAAATGGGTGAGACCACCGAGGAGGAAAGAATGATGGTAAAGAAAATGATAATAGTTGCTTTATGGTGCATACAAATGAATCCCGGTGACCGTCCTTCAATGAACAAAGTTGTAGAGATGCTCGAAGGGAATGTTGAACTCTTGCAGATGCCTCCCAAGCCTTCTTTGTGTCCACAAGAGATGCCAGTTGAAGATCATGAAATGGACATGGATCTTGCAGAGTTGCCTATGCTATCCTCCATGTGATTGCATAAATTCCATCACTGTGGATGTGTTGCACCTCAAGTTGTTTCATATAAAAAATTATGTGTTAGCAGGGAATTCTAACATCTCCCTCGTATAATTGAGGCAGTCTTATTCAAAACATGATTGGACAACTATGCCTCATTGAAATAAATTTGTGTGAAAACTTGTTATATGGTTGAGATGTCTCTCCTTGTGTTGCATTTCAATTGCTTGAAGACATTCTTAGTTAAATTTATATTCGTAGCATTTTTGCAAAGATTCTACGAGTTATAATGTTCACACCCCCCCAAAAAAAAAGAAAAAAATGCATATTTTATATAGAATGATATGATTGATATGTTGGCCCAATCACTTTAAAACAAAGAACTCATGAAGAGACATTTTAATTATGAAAGATAAAAATAAAAATCACTGCCACATGATTCTCGTGAAAGATTGTACATAAAAATTAGGTAAGAATGGGGTTTTTCCATTTCTATTCTGTGATACATATGGGTTCTTTATTTTTTATTATTTGTTATATTGTAGGGATATTGCTTTGACACCATATGACAGCACATGAGCTTTGGATATAGTTTCTCAAACTCTTATTTCAAATGTGTATAAGATAAGCAAACAGCTTAACCTGCAATGCAATTTACTCGAAGTAGCTTGAATTAGGCTCATGTAAAAGATGACTAAATTATCAACTACACTTCAATCAGAAGTAGTAAGTTTCTGGAAAAAAATAACAATATTGTGTGTGTCAAAATTTGATCACACAACCAAATCGAATCCTCCTCCAAAGATTCCGTGAACAAAGCCGAAGAGCACATACACTAGATGGAATCCACAACCTGAAACAAGGAACATAATAACTTACCCGGTTGTTCTCAATCAGGAGAGCACTTCGACGATCAAGTCAGTATCTCTCAGATAATCGCAAGTATCAACTCCAGCAATTAACCCATAAATAAAAACACATATTTCACCCACGTGGGTGCCTTGTTTTATATAGAACTACTGCCCACCTCATCCTATAAGTCATACTTCAGTAAGCGGCCATGGCTCCCCTGCCTTGGCTCAATTGCTTTGTGTATACTACTCCTTCTTTATATCCATTTCCATATGCGCATGTGTATTGGCCCCCAAGTTGATAAATGTTATATTTAATCTTCACCCCACTTTCTTATTTTTTTTATTCTGCTTTTCACTCGAATAATTCCATGAGCATTCTATGTGATAAAGTATTTATGTTGTGTTTTGATTTGTTAAATATAATAACTATATATTTTGTATATCATACATACCATATTATATTCATTATCATACTTAGTATAACCATGCTCACTATGATATAAGTATAATTACTATATTTAACATGATTAATGAATTTGGATAGAGATTTAAAAATGGAAAGAAAAAAAGTAGGTGAAATATAAATAAAATAGGGGGAACTATTTGCAAGTAGGGAGTTGAAAAAAAATATCAATATATGAGGGATACAAGTGTGTCTGTGATAGGGTGCAAATGAAAGATTGTGGGAGTGCTTGCACCCCTTCATGTATTGGTAATTATTTTTTCCTTCTCCCACCTATATATAGTTCTCCCAATAAAATATACAATAACCACAATTCACACACATTTTTTCTTTCTCTTTCTAAATCCATACTCAAATTCATGAATCAAACATAGCCATAACCTCAGTATAATCCACTTTCATGTTTGTAATTTCTTTCTCTTGTTATTCTCTCTTTTCTTTTTTTTCTTTTCTTCTTGTGTTTTATTCTCTTTTCCAACTCCATAGCAGAACAATTATATTATGATGATTATATTTTTATACCTAATTTTTTTAATAATATTACACATTAATATAATGAGTTCTATAATTCATATTTGTTGCTAATGCAATAATATTATATTATATGGTAGACAAAATATGATAAAATCTTATATTCTCTTTTTCTTTTACGTAAATTTTTTAATTTTTTTTTATTTCTTGTATAGTGCTTACTGCTTACGTGAGTGGTTTTTCAAAATAAAAAATGCAATTTGGTAGGTAAATAAAATTTTAATTTAAAATATAAATACATCTACATTAAATGAATGTTTTTATTTTACATTTTAGCCCCCCAAGGATAGAATCATGGTTGTGTCCCTGAATATATATATATATATATATATGTATAATTATATCAGTGATGTCATGTTAATTGGATTAGTTTCATCACACCATGCCATTATTAAATTGTTAGAGACTAGGGAAGTCAATTAATAGACTAGAGGATTTGAAGGAGGTGGTTGGTTTGAGAATTTTAACATCTTGGTACAGGGGAACTTTTTTTTGGTCGTTGTCTACCTCAAATTCTTCAACATCTATATCTTGGACCAATTAATTTGACGTTTCCAGCAATTGTTTTGAATTGAAAGATATAAAATTTTGGAAACTTGATAGAATCAAATTTCTCCAAAGTCAAAAGACCCCACATCTTTTCTCTCTTTTTTTTTTCTTTTCCATCAAATTGTTGTTGAATATGAAACCTTCGATTTTCTAGAAATAGTGCAGAGACCATCATGCTCACATTATATTATGGAATTCACTTTTGATGGGTTTGTAACTAAACTGTGATGAGGAGTTTAAAATAGTCAAATAGCGTTTACTGAGGAGTCGACTGTTTCTCCATTGTATCTAGTTATGAGCAGAGCAATAGAGAATTCTTGATTTTTGAGAGGCTTCTAAGCCTGACTTTAACATTTAACCAACTAGGCCTTTCTCTCTAGTTCTACGATAACTGCCAATTGTTGTTCAATCTGTCTTCCATGCCTCATGGCATTTGTAGTCGCAAAAGAATTAGGAAATATGTTCATGTTGTTTGTTTCTCCTGCCAGCATTTGAATCACATATTACATGAAAGGACGATTTATTGGATTCCATTGAATGCACCAAACCCCATGATTGTTAGCTTTTTCGCTATTTTAGCATCTCCATCTTTGTCAACCTGGATCCACAGCTTCTGTCCTTGTTCCAAACTGTTAATAGATCCACTCTGGAAAGTACATTTGGCTAGTGTTTTCAATTGTAACATCATTCTTTCTCCCTCCAACCACTTCAAGCAACAACGTTCCATAACTATAAACATCTTGTAGCCTTGTAGGATACTTTCTCAAGGTTCCTACATAACACTTTGGGTAACCCATGGTCCCCTTAGTAGCAGTCATGGATACAACACTTTGCTCCTTGGAACACAATTTGGCTAGGCCAAAATCAAAGATCTTCGGATGAAAGTTTTGGTCTAACAAGGTTTGATGTCGAAATGGAGGATTCACTGATCACACCCTTTGTGAAGATATTCAATCGCTTTAGCTATGCCTAGAGCAATATCTAAATCCTTTCCCAACCAAGGAGGTGGTTCTTGGGGTTCTCAGGAAAAAAATGTACTTTTCTAGTGAATCGTTTGGTAGGAACTTGTAGACAAGAGCTCGGGCAAACCCATCAGCACAAAACCCAACCAAGTATACAATATTCACATGGCAGATTTTCCCAATTGTTCCAAGTTCATTGATGAAGTCTTCCCCATTTCCCTTGGAATTGTTGAGGACCTTAACAGCAACAAAGATTTCATGTGAAAGAGTTCCTTTGTACATGGTTCCATAACCTCCTTGGCCTAATTTTTTCATAAATTGATTTGTGATCCGTTTAATATCAGCATATGAATATCTTGTAGGCCACTGAGATGTGTAATCCTCCAAAAAAAATTCGACTAGAAAAAAGCCTACAACTGCATCTGCGTATATATAATGTACAGAGTGAAGAATCCTTAGCTTACTATTGCATTGCTAGCGTCAAGTGAAGGCTTAACATATGACTTTACCTGCGACGTCTAGTTTCTTTGATACATCTGCAAAAGATAATGAAATTATTAACTTCTTGTCCTCTTGACGCTTGTGGTGTTGTTAAGAAAATATGCAATTACTGGCATTTATTTTTCAAAGTCGCTTGAGTGGAAATCAAGCACCTAAGAGGTCTGAATTCTATTTTATTTTTTTCCAAGTAAAATAATTCATTGAAGAGACAATAAATTATGTACGAAACATAAGGGCCAAGCCCCTAGACACCCTAACCATCTACTAGCAATCGAACAGAACAACCTGATGATCTACGCCAATTATCAAAACTATTTTTAACATGTTTCCAAGAGTTGACTCTAGCTTTAAAATCTTCAATCAACTTGATTATGATTGCCATCTTATTCTTCTTTTGATTGAATGTCATGCTTTCTCTCCCACCATAGTAACCAGCAAGAGAGAGTATATATATCAGATTTTAAAAAGATGCCTAAATGTTAAGATTTCATAATTTGTGTGTAGACACTCCATTTTTGATCAACCTTAAGACTCAGACGTCACCAGTTGAGCGCTTGGTGATGTTGCATATTGTGCTTGTTCTGAGGTTTCAGAGTCTCGGCTGCGAGCCTTGCCTCCAGACTTCGGGGCTCTTTTGTGCTTTGCCTCGGTTTGCGAACCAGGTCCTGTTTTCTCTATTTTCTCTTCCCAAAGGGAGGGAGAGGTCCCGTAGATCATCTCTCAGTGGCAGTAGGCTACGTTTCGTGGTCGTAGGCCATTTTTCCCATTTGGAGCCCGGTTTCCGATTTTTCGGAGCCGTCGGCCATGCGCCTCGGTTCGGGACCGCTTAACTACCTCCGTTTGCTCCGGTTTTTGGCACACACCTTATTTCTCCCCTTTTGAGGGACACTGTGGCTGAGAGACCACCTTCGTGGTCATACGCCACTTCCGGTGCCTAACAGCCTATTTTTAGGGCCCCAGACTGCGCGTTTTGGCCCCTGAACCTTCGCTTTGCATCCGTTTTGGTCCATTTTTTGTAGAGACCCTATTTTCACTATTAGGGAGGTGGTAGGATGGTGGCCGGCCACCTATTCCCCTGAAAAATCAATTTTCTCATTTTCTCTCTCCAAAAGCCGATTTTTCTGACAGAAAGCTGGCTTTTCCCTTTTTTGAGCCACATTTTCTGACTTTTCATACCACCATTGTGATCTACTCATCTGGGAGGCCACCAATATGGGTAGGCCGACCAGTAGTTCACCTTGACCCTTTTGAACCTTGTTTAAAAGCTAGCTTTT